GTTGTTCGCTTATAATGATAAAAATAATATGACATTTATATATCGCGCATATCCGTAAAACAATCATTTTTCTATGCGCATTTTATAATGTTCATGAAAAACATGCATACACACATATTATACAGGCACATAATAATATATGCACTAAAAAATAATAGGTGTCACGACTTACGGGATCAAGCGCTCGTCAGTTTTGATTTTGAGGCATACAGAGTTATTGATATCATCTTAAAGCCTGTCCATTTGCCTTCATTTTGATGAAAACGATATTCATCTATGCTGTATAGAAGTCGAAATATTTGTGATTGAAGGAGGTGGGGTCACCTGATTTCAGAGGTAAATTTCGTGAGAAAACGGCCGCCAAAGTTTGATAACTTCAATAGCTTGAGAGCCTTTAAAACTGAAAAATCAAAAATTTTGTGCATGTAATGAACGTTTTTCAGTACGGACGTAAAAGATGTTCAGCGCGGGAAAAAAATCATTAACAGTTCCCAAACCTGCGGGAAAATGCCAGTTTTTTTTTCACTTTCATTATTTTGACGAGCGCCTGATTTCACCACGCTGCCTCACAATTAGAGTAAATCATTAAAGGAAAATATTGCATGCACACTCTTTCTTACTAATAAAAAGGAAAAAAATTGAGACTCATGTCTATGACAAAAGCGCTTTAATTTAAAAAAACAACAAAGCAAGTTATAGTGGAATTCTGATAAAGTCAACACCCCGGACAGAAAAAAAGTGTTGACTTTGAGCAAGATTGACTTTATCCATTGTACTACTGGCCATTGAAAATTGAAGATGACAGCTACAAAATTCAAAGTACCTTGTAATAAACAAGATGTAATCTCAATTTCAGGGAGTATAATTCTGAAGTTGTCACCAAAACAAGATATAATGAAAGAACAAAGTACATATATGTAATTGGAGGTGTGTACACCACTTGCTCAGGCGAAATATCTCTTCTTGAATGAATTCATCTTAGGATTTAGCCCCAAATTGTTGACTTTACGAAAGGTTAACACTCAAGCGGTTGACTGTATCAGAAACACAATTACTTAAACTTAACTTAAACAAAGAAGGTAAGAAACGGGACTACAGTGAGGTGTTGACTGTAAGCAAGAGTTGACTTTATCAGGATTCCACTGTATCTCTGTTATTACTGATCATTTCTGCTGAAAAAAAGTGAAATTAGTTATCAACAAATGCAGATGTTCATCATGTCGAAAATATTTTCCACCTCACAAAAGTGTAATATTACATTTAGTTCAAGACACCCCCCCCCCTTTCTTACAGGAGCCAAAGCCCCCCCCCCCCCCTCCCAGGCGTAAGATTATATAACGGCCCCTTATTATATACGCATACGCTCGCAAAAACATGCACGTATACACTCACAAAATATACTGATACATACTCTAAGAGCAACACACATCTATGCTCCTTCTGACAAAAGTCTTTTGCTAGATGCTAAAAAAACAACGTATTTTATATCTTTCTTTGTTACATTATATTGCATATATCTGTCGCTGCGTGATCTTACAATTTCTGTGGAAAGGGGGTGTGATGGGTCGTTTATAATGCTTTTTATCTTTTTTATACTTGCAGTGTTATACATTTCATTCTTTAATGTTCATTCACACTCACACACACACACACACACACATACACACACACACACACACACACACCTACACGAACACAAACACACACACACAAACACACACACACACACACACGAGCACACCCACCCACACACAAGCACAGTTACGTACGCACAAAACATAGACCTCTACACACAGACAGACAGACATTCATTCACATACATTATAATTATACGTCATGATATGTGCACTTTAAAAACACCCACATGAACACGTATTAAAAATATAAATTATATAAGCCAGAACAGAGGAAACTTTTATTTTTAAAGGGGGAAAAAATCCACCAAAATGTGAATTAGAAATATAATATGTAGCCCGTGAAACCAACTGAGAGCACCCATGAAAGTACATGCGTTGTCCTACTTTGTACAGTTTTACATGATTCATTACACCATTCTTCCACGTTGTAGGCGTTTTTTTTGTTGTTGTTTACTCCCGGGCCAACGCAGACTTGATTAAATAATTAATTGGTTAAGCTGCTCGACCTTGACATTCAGGGTCAGTCTGACCAAATATGGAAGACAGCACCGTGGCTGAAAGACGGAGAGACTGAAAAGGGCTTTCCTTCATGGACATCAAACCCGCGTCCTTTTCACGCTGCTCGGATAGTGTAACCATTACACCTCAGACGCGGAGATGTTGTTTTTTGTGTATCATGTTTTGTGTGTGTGTGTGTGTGTGTGTGTGTGTGTGTGTGTGTGTGTGTGTCTGTCTGTCTGTCTCTCGCTCTGTGTGTTTCGCTTTGTTTTGATAAGAATCTTACGGCGCTTGCAACTGCACAAGGTCGCGGTTCACAAGTTCACATGTACTTTTGTACTCTCCTTTTAAAAGGACATCTGCTAGCATGGTGTGCTATTAGTACTAGTTAACAATGTGCCATCTTTTTCCAAAAACACACGGACATCAAAACCTTTTTTCATGACATCTACGACACAATGAAATCAGTAGGCCTTTTTTCCCATGTATATATAATTAAGGCCTCGTATAATTAGTGTGTTTATATTTCAACCCCCAGAACCCTATGCCGTGGTGAAGATTTTCCGGGGCCCTGACATGTTTCTGTTTGAGCTTGTCCCCGCCTTCATCTTCCCGGGGGAGTGGCCAAGCAGCGCTGCCTCCTGGCCGGAGGATCACAGCGATTGGCTCACAGAAGCAGAGGTCAAGATAGCTAAGGAAATGGGCTTCTACGCCCAGGCTCTGCCCTGCCCCGCGGACCCAGCCGACCAATCACTGTTCCGCATTTCTTTCAACATGGCGGAAAAGTACCTCCTCCGCCATGTTGTTCCCGAAAACTCCAACCTTTCCTCGACTCGTAAAGATTGCGAGCGCATCCTACGGTTGATTCGAGAGTCGGACAAGGACGATTTTCAGCCCGTGAGCTCTTATCACATAAAAACCGTGCTTCTCCACGAGTGCGCGCGCTGGCCGGACCTCAAATCGTGGAGCTCCGAGAAGTTGGCGGAGCGATTCTTGGAGCTGCTTCGTGACCTCATCCTAGTTCTGGATTCCCACGAGCTGCCACACTTCTTCATCCGGGACTGCAACTTATTGCGCCAGTTCGCCCCCGAGCAGCTCACAGCTACGGCCGTTCGGCTCAGAGAGATCTACCAGGACATTTTCGCCTCACCCGCCAACAGTATACGTCTCCAGTGCTGAAGTGAAGGCAGAACCAAGAAGACAGCTTACTTGAACAATTTCTCTCGTTGGTTGAGTGAGCGTCCTGGATTGACAGAAGAATGTTACCAACTAATGAAACGAAAAGAATATGAAAAGGGGGGTGGGGGGAGGAGTAACGATGTGTTTTTGAGTGTTGATAAAGTGGTTTTACTCCAGGTTTTTATGACGCGTCTCAATAATACCATGGTTTTATTATTTTTTGGTTTGTTTGTTGTTGTTTTTTGGTTTGTTTATTAAATTTGTTTGTTGTTGTTGGGTTTTTTGGGTGGGGGTGGGGGGGGGGGGGTAATTGTTTGTTTGTTTTTGAAAAACCGAGAGCAATGGCTTTTTGCCTTCCGTATGAATATGGAGCTATTTTCAGCAAGGCCAGAATGCGGCAAATCTGTTTTGATGCATGTTTGGGGTTTTTTTTAAGTTAAAAAAAAAATTTGATTTAGATCTACGTGGATTTTGTTGTTGTTTATTTTTAAAGGAATATGACCATGTTGCTGAGTGTCAAATATTGCATTCAGGTTTAGCTTAAACTTTTTAACCAGACAACGATCACCTTGGACTTTGTCCATCATAAAGAGCCATAATTTTACAGTATACGTGGATAGCCTATTTATGCGGATCTAGAACTGAGTGTATCACGTCACGATTCTTACCCAAAGTAGGCCTACTGGTATAGTTCGGGTTCTGAGGTTTTTAATGCATGTATAACAGTATAACCCAATGAATGTTCTTGGTCTTTGTCTGTGACCTTTAATAATGTATAAACACACAAATTTATGTAGATTATTATATATAGAAAATGTGATAGATTTAGGGGATATACGAGACTGAGCATAGAGTTGATAGGGGAAATAGGTATGATGAATACCGTATTAGAAGCATTCCTGTGGTTACTTTATAATGTTACTACATGTATTACTAAGCCCTGCATTGAAATTTAAAGCTGAATAAAACGAAAAAAAGGAGGGGGGGGGGGGGGGGTTATGCAGCTATACAGAACAATAACAGGAATTATGTAAAATACTCATAAAATGAAAGGGTAGGGGATGTGGAAATAATTAGTGCCGGTTTAGTTACCGGTCTACCGCGATAAGCTGCAGCTGTCTGGTAAGTCGCGCCCAATCGACCAGGTGCTATGCTATAAAGATTGTTATTTTATTGATAAGTGTTTTAAATTACGCCGCTCGCAACTGCATAAGGTTATATGAGCGCACGGGATACAGTGAGCATTTCAGTCTGTTAGAATTGACTTTGAATTTTGCCTTGGTGGCGGCCGAAGCTTACTCTTATAATCGATTTTAGGACTGCCAAGGAATCTTTAATGTGCGCAACCATGAGTTAGAAAACTTTTGAATGGTTCACATGCTGGCTTCGGCAATAGGTAGAAGGCTATTACTTCCTAATGTCATGTTTCTGTTTGATAGAATGTCTAGACAAAGTTGTTTGTGTTTGTTTCTTTGTTTGAGCAAATGGAAGCACGTCGATACAATAATGGCCATTTCGTGTTGGGAAAAAGTAAGACAGACACACAGAAACAACAGTGGTGCCCTCCCAACCCATCTGCGTGACATAGATGAACAAGGTATGATGACTGACAATAGTGAGTGTTGTTATTTTATAATCTAGTAAGCCAGTAAACACAATGTTCTTGTTTGGTCAAATAACCCTACACTTCTTTACAGTGTTCTTGTGGGAACATAAGTTTTAATGGTGATGTAATGTTTTTCTTTGATAGAGTTGTTCCTGTATGTTACTCGGCACAGTTTTCATGTTACAATCTTGTGCCAGTGAGATAATGATTTTGTAAAAGTTTGTTACTTGATGTAATATTATGTACCACTAGAGTGTGTGGTCCTGTCTTCTATTACAGAGTCGTTTGACGAAGTTGTGCCAATACGTTATATCTTGGGTATCATGTGAACACCATACAGTTCTTGAGTTTGACAAATTCCTGTCAGCACTTTTACTGAACACAGTAGACCTCATACTCATATAATAATGAATTTGTTTCATGGTCCCTTAATGAATGTTTCTTTCGGTGAATCTCTGTAGTGAGGGATGGATAGACACCCACAAGTGAGGTATTGTGGTGAAATCAGACGCTCGTCAAAATAATGAAATCAAAGAAATAGGTATTTTTTGGCAGATGGGCAATTTTTTTCTAATAATACAATGTACATTTAAGCCTACCACTAGACCACAAAAAATGCAAATTCTCAGTTTCCACGGACTCTCAAGCTAAGTAAATAACTCTTTTTTGGCAGCTATTTTCTCATTAATTTTACCTCTGAAACAAGGCGATGCCCGCCTCCTTCATTCACAAATATCTTGACTTCTATGCAAGATTAATGGATATTTTTTCAATCAAAGCAAGACAAATGAACAAGCTGTAAGATGTTATCAATAATTCCACATGCCCAAAACTAACGAGCACCTGATTCTACCACGTCGTGATACATATCATTATTATGCTGGGGGCCATTCTGGCCTGACAGTGAAATATGTGAGTAAGGTGTAGGCCCTACCTGTAAGTTGATCAGGCCGTGGCCTCCTACATGAACAAGAGTTCATTCACAGCCATAGATGTATGTGTCGGCTTTTCTAATATAATCAATATGAACAGTGGATGGGAAAATAGAATTATGTGCTTGCAGTGACCTTGAATTTGTTATGCTGCTGGACTGGAAACTGTTAAAAAGAAAGTGACCAAGGAAGGAATCGGCAATTTTCGATGGCGAACAAAACCAGGATGAAAGGACCACAACAAAGCAGGAAGAAACTAGCAAATTGATCGCAAATAGAAAATAATTGTAAGTTTTTAAGGCCTGAGTCTCAAGACCTGTCTTTTGAAATGGTGAATCCATTTCAACACTGTAATGTATTATAATTCAAACGTTCCAGTATACTCTATGGCTTATATTTTTGAACCATGAGAAAATGTTGATGTATGTGTGTTGCTATAAAAACTATTCACATTGTAATTTTTTCACTTTCTTACCTTTACAATACCATACGATTCATTGTATATCGCTCTTGAGACCAGGTTTGATATTGAGGTGTGTGGCATTATTAAAGACACTTTTACAGGTAGGTCATGTAGTATGTACGGGTCAGGATGAAGGTTTTTAGGATAAAAGCATCCACTACTAAACAGGGAACAGTTGAGAACTAACAGTTTATACATTATCATTATAAATACAAAAACAAAAAAATATTTTATTGTGTGACTGTACATGTGTGCTTATCTTAGTTTGTATAAAAAGCTGCACAGAGTGTGAATTTGCTTGAATATGTAAAGTTGTTTTATTCACTACACACATATTATGTAAACACCATGCAGGGCAATTAGAGATTAATAGAATGTTTATTCAGTGGTTACATACTCAATATTCTCGATACATTATTTTTTTTACATAAAGTTCACCGGTACCTTTACTAATAATACTTGCTTCATACATTGATAAATCATTTCAATTTGTAATGGAATTCGATGCAATATACATAGATCTGTGACAAATCTAAAATCTTGCTCTTAGATCACATCTCTGTGAGTGTGAAGGGAAAGGAATTGTCAAGTAAAGATGAAAGTGTGTTATATTTTCACGCTACAAACCTAGTGTACCCTATGAACAGAGTTCTACATGGTTCTACTGTGCTGTTTTTCGCCATGTATAAATGTACAGGTATTACATTGCTGTATGAGGCCAAAGGTTTTTGTGTGCACCAAGAAGCTACACATGTTTCTGTGAAGGCACTGTGCTGTGTCAAAGCTCACATGTTCAGAATAAAATTCCTGTCATACTGTCACTAGTGTCACACGGTGCTTGATTTGTGTTTTTTTTCTTTTTTCTCTTTCCACTCATACAAGACCTGTGCACACAGAGGTGTTCAGAGGTAAGATTCTTTGCTGTGCATTAAAAAGATGTGAGTTGAATTCTCGTGTGGGGAAGTGAAACAAAATCAAGCACGATCTCTATACAGTGGAGTCCACTTATAACGAGTCCGGAAACAACGAGAATTCTGTTATAAAGACACTATTCTAAAACCCCGTTTTTTTCTCTTCTTTACCTTTGTAAATAAAATACTGCTATAGCGCTATCAAACATGCGAGTCGGTTATAGCGGAATATTGCTGCTGCTGTGAAAAGGGCATAGGCCAATTATACATAATGTAAAACATAGCCAGTTGAGAAACTTGTTGGTGAACTAGCGAAACAAGGAATGGGAGAGCCCACGTGTGTCAACAATGAAGGCCGGAACAACTGAGTAGGGAGGGTGTAGCATGCGCAGACAAGCAGAACGCATCGCGTGATAGGCCAGTGTAAGCTTAGTTTAGATTATCAAGGCCTATCATGCCTCTCACTTCTCCGATGCGGGGATGGAGAGGTCACAGCAATGTGATGGATGGAGCGAATGTGTGACGTGCACAAGCTGACGGAATGCACCACAGGGTGTGGTGGGGTGGGGGACAACACAGCGGGCGTGTTAGCCTAGAGAACTTTCTTTCTGATCGCCAACACCGAGCTTTCAGTCAACATTGCTAGCGCTAGAAAAAGAAACCTGATTCGATTTTTGATCAAGTAAGACCTAGATGTCATGTTGAAACAAAATTCATCATCAGCGGAGATAGCAAAAGAAAATAAACAGAACACCGAACTCATAGATTAGGCCTACTTTACACAGTTTACCCTTGAATTTATTACTGGATCCTTTATAGCGAGAATCCTGCTATAGCGGACATTTTGCTCCGGTCCCCTTCCTCTCGTTATAACAGGATTCCACTGTATTATACTCTTGCTGAAAGTGAAAGGTGGCTACCCACGCCGCCCAGGTCAACCCGGACAAACTTGGTCACAGAAGTCTCCTCCTTAAGTGAGTAAAATTGTGTCGAAAGGGGAGTATAACTTTTTCATTCATAATACATGTAGTCAATATTAGTTGCAGGTTATTTATTAAGGAGTGTCACTGGTATAAGGCCCTACTTCTGTCAACATACAGTGGAGTCTGCTAAAACCGAACATGGTTAATCTGAAAATGGCAGATAATCGAAAGAAAATAAATTCCCTGAGTTAGCTCCCTCGTATTTGAGCA